TATGAACGATTATTTTAGCTGATATGCTTCAATGAATTAAGCATGGCCGATACGCTTCAATAAATTAAGTATATATATATATATATATATATGTATTGATTGTTATGTAATAACTGCATATACGTCGAGAAAAAAGAACTGTGACGAAACAACATCAAACAGCACGTTGTCAATGATTATGTAATCTTTTAATAAGAATATCAGAGAATTCAAATAATCTAACCTATATAATGCCAATTTTCTTTTTATCAATTGAAGAAAATGAAAATGTATTTAAAACAAAACAAAATTATAAATAAAAATTTATCTTTTTTTTTCTGATTAAAGAATCCACTATTATTTAATGATAATCAATGATTATATTTTATGAAACAATTATCATATGAAGAAGTATCTATTAATGTATCAAATTATGATGATCTAACAATGTTATGTTTCATGTTTTGTTCGATTTTTTCTTTATGCACATCACCATTAATTATTAACTTGTCTAATAAGCAAAATTATTAGCAGCTATATTATCTACTCGAATCTTTCATTCGTTTGGTAAACGATAGCGAAATTCTTCAAATTCTAGTTTCTTTTATGATAAAACAACATTGTTTTATTACAACAATGAATAATACAGCTTGTATAAGATTAAAAAAAAAACAATTTATTTATTAGAATATTTTCATTTTCATAGAGCATCGCTATGAGTATTGATATGAGTATTATTATTCAATGTGTATTTTATAAAGATTCAATAAATTATGGAAAAAGTTGGTCATTTTTATTCTTTCATCACAAATTCAAGGTTATAAATTAGTGAGTATTATTACATTTGTACTCGAAAAAATTTCAGAATGTAAATATCATTTAATTTCTATTTCTCTTAGATATATTGTATCGGTGCAATATTATTATCTATGTCAGTTTGGTTTTTTAATGGAAAAGTATTCATGAAATAAATATCTTGAATATAATCATTTTCTTATGTTTCTATCAGGCCTTAATCTCTTACCTTCAATACTATTAGGTAAGTAATCCAGCATGGTTTGCTATTGGTTTTTTTTTTCAATGTTATACTTTTTCATTATGCACATTCATGGTGAAAGCGATATGCATTTGTATTTTCTGCAGCAATGAATTTTGATCTTGCAATAGTGCTCTTTTTTTTATATTTGTTTTTTTTCTAATGTTGTACTTGAAAATAATAACATACATTATCCTAAGTGATAAAGTACTAGTAGTAGCATCGGTGATGATTGTCTATTAGCAAATGGAAATTTTTGTGATAATTTACATCGTTATAAATCTTTGTGATGTGAATTCATTTCTTTTTTTTTCTTTTTAGATTTAATCTAAAACTCAGCAGTGATGGATTAAATAAATATTATGTCTATTTTCGTTTATTTTTTCTGTTACGTAAATATCTATGAAATATTTCGGTGTTCTCTTTATTATGATTGTCTTCTATTTACATTGATTAATATGTAAAAATGAATAATATACACGCCGAATGTTTTTGGTACAATCTATAAAGACAAAAACAACACGACAACCAGCGATCGTCCTTCTATAGGCATTGGATTTCAACTAATGCAAGCAATGATCTCCAATTACATTATTCTTAGTCAATTGGAAGATATGGAAATATAAGCTTTTAAATTTTTTTGTTTTTTGTTTTGATTCCATTATTCAATATTATAGAATGCATCAATTTTTTCAATTGAAACATCGCACATAGACAGTTTACTCGAGTCTTCTTTACTGTATAAACTATTGAAGTGATATTTTTAAATTGACACTTTACTTTTTTTTTGTTTTTTGTATTCCAATATTTAGTCTTCATGGATATGGTGTTTTAGACATGTTTTTTATGATGTTTGTATTTATATATTAGTATCCAGTGATACTATTTCCTCTTATACTCGGCCAAACAACTGAATGATTTTAATACATCGATTACATAAAAACTATATGTATATAAAAGAAATGAAATAAAAAGTTTTTCTTATGTGAACAAGTTGCCTAGAATATATCAATCCTATGTTCAAATAAGTAGTCCTGATATATTTTTATTTTCAATAAATAGATTTCGAATCAAATTAAAGTGTTCAATTTCTATGATTTGAAAAAAGTTTTTATTAGAATAAATTGAAATTATATTGATACTGGGAAATGGAACGATAAGAACGAAGAAAGTTCAGCATAGAAAAAAATGAAAGTAAATATGATGTCTATTGAAGAATCAATGAATATATATGAATGCGAATGAGTGTTACTCTTCTCTTCATCTTCATTCATGCCTACACCCCTTACTTTCATTTTGTTGTGTGTGCTTAACTTTTCGGCGTTGAACTTAAACCGCCATGGCTAAATTGTTCGACATGTATCTACAAGGTACTGTGTTCAAACCTCAGTATCACCAGCTATGAGATTACCCTGGACAAGTCACTAACGGCTATTTGTTTTGTATCACTCATCCGATAACATGCTGACTATGTTGTGATATATATCTGCTATTGTCACTAGTTAGTGAGTATGGGAAGTTCAAGCAATTAAGCACAAGAACTCTGTGTTAAGCCAATCTTCTGTCTAGAACTACAGCTAGTTATAGTTGTAGAGAAGATATCGCACTATTGAATATGCTGCTAGGCAGAACCCCGTATCGCAAGGTAACTGAAAGGTTGGAATATTCTTTTTCGATGCTGAACTTTCCTTATGCTTACCGTTCTCGAGCTGAAGTATCCGTGCGTAAGTTTCTGTGTTCATCGTTCGCTAATTCGTTGATAATCATAGTATTATTCTGAATTTTAGTTTCTTTTGGCAAGATAAAATCAAACAGATTGATTTGAAATGAATATTTCTATTTAATAAAATATTTTTCTTTGCGCTTGTTTTTTTTCACTTTTTTTTTTTTTATTTTGAAAAATGTCGTTTTTTATTTCATGATAACTAGTCCTCTTTCATTTCATATTTCTCCTCAGTGGAAGCAAAGTAATGCAAACTCATCAGCTAACAAGCAACACAAGTTCACATCAAAACATCTCTATCAATCAAATAATCTCGACTTATTATACCATAGTCAATCTGTATTCAATCTAAACAATGATTATGATAAACATATACAGCATAACTCCAGACAAATGTATCTAAATCAGACATTAAATAATGTAAAAGATTTATTTTTAAATTGTAATCTTCATAAGACAAGTAATCTTCCACATATGACAATTAATTTAAATACGAATGAAGAGAAAGATCACAATATAAAAACAGCTAAAGATTTAAATCAAATATTGATAGATATTCAAACTTATAGAAATCAATTATACAATACACATGGATCGATTTATATTCAAATATATTCTTCTCAATCAAAGGCATGTTGTTGTCATCATAATCAATCAATGGAAAATTGTAAACAAATTTCCGAATTTAAAAATGAGTTTTTACAAAAAACCTCCGTCGAATATGTCTATAAGATTGAATGCATAACAAATAAAAATACTATCATCAAATAAGATTATTTAATTTCATACAACCAAAGACTAAAAGAATCTTTTTACTTTTATATAATTTCTTCATTGTTTATTAATTTTATCTTTTCAATGATCAGTACAATGCTAAATATTCTACACAAGTTAGTCTCATATTAGAAATAAGGCATCATTAAAATGTCAAAATATAGAATTCATTTTGTAGAATCAAATAGTTCCATTGGTGAAACTTTTTGTTCTGAGGAAAAAAAAAATTATTTTATTTCAACAGTCTATACTATTCATTTTGTTGTTAACAATTCCAACAATAAACGTTATTCACAAATACCTAATTGGATGTCAAGGTGTATAATGTAATTGTCGGTGTGAATGATGATATGTGTGAAGAGAAGACTCGTAGCTGTATCCTATATAGACAAAACTTTACGCCAAACTTATGTTTTTTTATTTTTGAGTATTTTTCTAAAGCTACATCAAAAATTCAATAAAACGAGCTTAACTCGACTCCCATAGTTCATGAAGATGAACTCTTTTAGGCTTTTTCTAGTCTTACTGAGACCTTGTTGTGGACTTACAATGAGCTCAAACGACAGGTATCAGTTCGAATGGTTGCCTCGTTAATATACAAAGATAAGTAGTAAATATTTCATATAAAAATTTTCTCCCATCTTTTCTGCTCTTCAGCTGATATTATCAACAAAAAGCAGATCAGACAATTCAACACTTAAGAGCGAGTGCATGAGAAAACCGACCTTTGTTGAGATCATTGGCACATGTCAAATTTTTTTTTTTTCTTCGTTTGCTAGCTCAATAGAGCATGTTATGAAATTAAGAAAACCAAAATATCTCGTTTTGAAAATGTTTTATTCACGAGATTCAGGCCCCACAAGTTTGATCACCAAGGATCAGTATGAATCAATATACATTTTTTTATCAACTTTAGTATTTAGTCTATTTTTTTCCAATCATAAGTGAGACAAAGTTAGTTCATATACTATTCGATAGAAGAGACAAAATCCTACAAATAATGTTATTTCGAGCTTCATTTGACATAGCATCAGGTGCGCTAGGCATAAAATATTCGACAACGGAGTGGTCCGTTATTTCGTCATCAATATTAATACTTTATCATATTCAGCAATACTTCTTATTAAATTCTGTTTTACAAGAATACAAATGAACTAACTTCTTTATAAAAGAATCAGATTCAATTCATAACTTACAATCAATTAAACAGAATTCTTTCAAAAAAGACAAGCACAAGACAAATAAACATGTTCCATCAATTCTAAACAGAACAAATTATTATACAACAATCAAAACACGAAAAAAAAAAACAACAAAAGGCACATCCATCTTATCTACATTAATGAATACAAAAAATTTCTTTTTTTTTTTCAATGTTCTACAATATCTGAGCGCGCATACACACGGAGAGAAAAAAAAGCAAAAATCAGTTAGACAAATAATATCAACAATACGGCATAGAAAACAGGAAAAAACAACGAATGAAAATCACATCAATAATGTATCAGCTTGATCTTCAGGAGTATATTTTTCAACACCAACAAAACGTAAATGATGATTAGCTCCATAACGATAATCAAAAAATAATTCTTCACCTGCCGATATAAAACGTTTCGAATAAATTCCAATTCTATGATCACCCTTAACCATAATAACTTTAGCATAGCAATTTGGATTTATTGAATGATTAGCAAAACGTATTTTATTTCCACGACGTGTTGCATCAACCATATATTCTTCATTAAGATCAAATAAAAAACTTGTACCTATTGTATCATACATTCGTCCACGTAATTCACCTTCATCTTGTGTTAACTAAACAACAACGAAAAAAAAACGTTTGCTTTTTTTTGCTTTTTATTTTTTATCAACAACTTCTTACAATTTCTCCACAATATTCAGCAATAAATTCATTTCGTTGAATATTAACTTGTGTAAATATTCCCCAACCAGCAACATCAGATTCAGCTAATAATAATGATTTATGTAAACTACGTTGTATAGCAACATTATGACATGAACATGAAGATTTTGTTATTAATTCATTGTTATTATTATTATTATTACCATTTCGAAAATCATCTGCACCACATTGTATACATAAATCAGGATCACATTCACGTGCTGCTGCATAACATGGACATTGTTTTGTTGTACACGATGAACGACAACGACAACCAGGAAAACGATTATCACATTTTATTGATGAACAACAACAATATTTTTCACAAAAATTACCCGAATGTATACAATAACAATGTTCATTACATGGTATTGAACGATCATGATCACATGGATAATATGTATGACGTTTTTGTTCTAATAATAAATTATTATGATGATTTAATAATATATGTTGATGACTACGTTGACGACGAAATGGAGAAGAATGAGAACGACGAGATGATGAACATTGATTTGTTGTAGGTTGAATTGAATTTGTCTGAAAAAGAAAGAAAAAAATCTTTTTCTTTTTTTTTGATAAGATGAAAAAAATTAAGAATGTTCAACCAAAATTGAAATCTAGTTTTGAAAATAGATGAATTTTAACCTCGACCCTTTCATGAGAACAGTAAAATATAATGTCGAATGGAAAATACAGTCTCTAAACAGTCAAATTTTATTTCATAAATCAAATATTTCAATTATTTATTCATGCATAAACTAAAAAGAAGCAATGTAAATATTATTGAAATGCAAAAAATCAAGAAATTTAACATACTTAACAAGATAATTTTCAACAAAAATGTCTCACATTAATTTCACGGCCGATCAGCACTAGTTAAACACAACTATCAAATAACCCGTCCGTGATTGAAATATATGAAAATCATAGTTTCAGATTAAAAAAACAACTATACACGTATGCATATGGACTTTTTTTTATTCCAACCAAAAGTCTATTATTTCCTTCTAGGGATGTTAAGCTACCGTTATAACCTCCCCATCTACCCAGAATAGAAAGCCATGGTCTTCTATTCTGGGGAAGTTTACATTACCAAGTATCTGATAACGCAAACATTATCAACTACTGAGTAACGGATAATGAAAAATTTGCGAGTTTATCAAGGAAAGGTTACTTTTTGAAAATAACAAATAAAATCAAACTCATAAATTTTGAAAAATCAATCAGACATTTAGATTTCTCGATGCCGAAAACCTTTGATCAAGCTCTATAAGAAATCGCTATTTTCGAAAAATATCCGTTCCTTGTTAAATTCGCAAATTTTTCGATACCTAGTAACGTAACTATAACTTCCCTCTCCGATTTCCTAGGTGGTTTTTTTAATTAAACAATTAATGAAAAAAAAAATCGATCAATTCAATTGAATACGAAAACTATTTCAAAATAAGATCATGCATATTTATTTGATAGTAACTATGGAAATAAAAAGATGCTTACCGATTGTTGATTATATATATTCATTTTATCGTCAATTGATTCTTCACTATTATTTGTATTTATTGTTGTATGTTTAAGATTTTTCTTTTTATGTTCATCATTAATTTTTACATCAATTAAATTTGGTGATGTTGTTGATAATTGTCGTTGTAAAAATAGCTGTTTTTCATTGACTTGTATTTCATTTAAATAAAATATATAAACTTGTGAACATGGTTTATCAAGTAGATCAGCAATCATACATATATTATCACCATAAATTGTACAAAATACACGAAATAATGATTTATCACTTGATGACCAATTTAATATTTCATTATTTAATTTTCGTTTTAATGATGGTTTAAAAAGAAAACCATTTTTATATATATTCGAATTTATTATTGATGATCTATATTCAGATTTATTTATATTTGATTTTACACGTTTTGAATAAAAACTATTTGTAGAAATTTGAAATGTTGTATTGTTATTATTTATAAATTCACTATAACTTCGTTTAAGTTCAATTTTATTTCGTTTTTGTTGTTTTAATGATAAAGTTTTTCTTCGATAACAATGAAAATTACATGGACGATAGATAATATCAGAATTATTTTTTGATTGATTATTTAAATCAGGTATTATTGATTTATCTTTATGTAAAAAACAATCATATCGATGACAACGACGACAAAAAAGCATAAAATATGAATGTAAAATATTTTCAACAGTTGTATCAAGTGCTATCAATGAATTATCTATATTTGGAGTAAATTCTTTCGGTTGTAATCGTTTCGATTCAAATATTGTACCAAATCGATCTCGAATCAAATCGGCAGAAGATGGATAAAGTTCTTAAACAAAAAACAAAATTTATTTTCTAAGAATTCTTATTAATTACATTTAAGAAATGTTCGATCACACATATTTGTATTCATGTTTCATTCATTTTTAATCTCAACATGCTCATTTATCTTCAACGTTAAAAAAGTCTATTTAACTACAATGTTCACTAGAGATGAGCAAAGGATACGACGATACGCAACTGTCCTGTGTTTTCATATAAATTTTTCTTTACAGGTTTTCGTAATACTTATTGTCACGAATTATACTTATGACTTTTAAAATGAAATTAAGAATAAAAAATATAAACAGATAGACAATACTCATTAATTGTCATTTGTTTATCCGTATTCTGATAGCTTTCGTTTTTTATTACTTTGTTATTCCTTTTTTTGGTTTTGAAATTTCTAACACACTCAAAACAAGGTAATATAGGGATTTAATTGACATATAAAGCTCTATTAGAATTCAAAGTAGCTTAAACTTTTACTTCAACGAGAAAATAAAAAAATGTCTAGTTATTAATAATGAATAATCAATAGAATCATTATATTAATGGAATATATTTGTATTTTCAACTCAATTAGATGAAAATAATAAATTGTAATGAATCTTTTGATATATTAATTGCTGCGAATGTTTTTAAACATTTATTTATTCTGTTTAAAGTACAACAACATAGTTCAGAGAACATCAAACAAAATGTGCTAAAATCATGTCTTCTTCTTTTTCTATAATAATTGATCAATCGAATATTTCATCATCAGTACAATCTCGTTTAATACAACATGGTTTCAAAATATTCTCAAAACTAATCCTAAAGATGCTGATAATATCAATCAACTATGTACATAATAGATCATCATAGATCTTCGTCTTTTTTTCACATTAAAGCATTGTTATGATATAGGAAACAGAAATTATGAATAAATTGATTAGAAGATGAATGAGAAATTTACTACATGCTTCTTTAATCTGAAATTTAAAGAAGATGTCATATTTGTGTTGTGCTCGCCTCTGATATTACATCAATTATTACTAAATATGATTAAATAATATTATTAGAATATTTTTATTATCATTTTTAACAATTTAGATTAAACTACTTGAATATCAAAATGCTGAAAGAAAGAAAAATACCTCTGTCTGTCGGTATGGGATGCTGGCTAGCCGCAGATTTAGTAGAAATATATCTTTTCTACAACTTACATTAGCTGTAGTTCTGGACAGAGCTCTTGCACTCAATCGCTTGAAGTTCCCATACATATTAAGTAACCATAAGAACAAGTGTATGTCACAACGGAGTCAGTGTGCTATCGGATAGGTAACATGAGACAAACAGTCATTAGTAACTTGCCCAGGTTCATTGCATAGCTAATGGTTCCGCGGTTTGAACACAGTTTAATTTAATTAATCTAACTTTAATTTCTATTATGGTTTCTGCAATAATCAAGTCCAAGAACAAAAAAAAATTGCAATCATAATAACTTCTAACATGTTTCAATTTTTTTTTATTATCTTATATTTTGTAAAAAAATTTCTATGCATTAAAATGACTTACTAATTAATGTATCAAATAAATCTGTTTCATCATCTAGTGTCATTGGCAATGAATTTTGAAGTGATTGTTGTTTAAGACGTTTTAATAATTCCAAGAGATGTTCTTCATCAAAAACAAATTCATTATTTCGATCATTTATAATTGATGTTTTTGATAAACGACGCGGACGTTTTGATGATGAAGCCGATCGAATTGCTAGAAAATAAAAAATATCTATCTATATTAAATAATTAAAATAAAAATATTCATTATTACTTTGTTGTTGTTCAGTTAAAGAGTCAGATTGTATTGAAATAAGAAGATTTTTAACATCTTCACTTTCTTCGTCCAATAATAAATCAGATAGATTTGTAACTGTATCACACTAAATTAATAAAATATATTTTTTATTTTGTCATTTTCTTAATTACATTTAAATAATTTACTAGAATATTGCTTTGTAATGGTACATAAATAAACATATTAGGTAATTGATCAATTTGAGGTAAAACTGATAATGAACAAATCAATTTATCACCAGTTATTTCATTAAAAGAACAACATGTATAAAGTGATGATTTATCATCTTTTAATACTGATTCAGAAATCATACGTGGTCTTCGTAAATCATTATATTGTTCAGCAATATTTCTAAGAAATGGTCTTTTAAAAACAAAAAGAAATTATTCATTGTATTCATACATAAGAAAAAACTTACACAGCATCATCTTTTTGTTTTAAATCAATCATACGACAAACATATTTAAGTGCTCGTTCAATTCGATCTTTCCAAACCGAATCGACTATGCTATTATTAGCACTAGTCGTCATCTTTTAATAATTATACAGATTTTATTGTGCTTGCATTTTCTTCATCATTTAAAACAGTACAAAATAAAAAAATTTAAATCTAAAGCAAAAAAAAAAGAACAACCATCCATTTATTCTTTTGTTCTATTAATAACAAAAAGGAAGGAAGGAAGAAATATAAAAATTGACGGAATCTTAAATTACTTTATCATTGAACACAAACGAAATGAACATCACAAAAGACAATAAATAAGATTGGTGGCGCTAGATTGTCAATCGATTATGAACCAATGAAAACAACAAATGTTCATAGACATTGTTCATTAAATATGTTCAAGACAAGTCTTTAACTTGGCCCTTTTTGACAGATGAATACTTTGAAATACACTTTAATCATACTCAATACTATCTTCACAAGTCTTGTGTTTTTTCTTTTGAACCTAAAGCTTTGTTCAATAAATTTTAATCATTATGATCCTTTTTTCTTTTTTTTTGTCTCGAATTATAGATTTAATCAATAGTTATTCAACAGTTTCAACTAAAACCTACAAATTCTAAATACATGCAAAGGATTTTGGCTAGGCTTTCACATGAAAATCTTTCATTCATTCTTAAGCGCCATCTATTGTTCAATCATTATTTATTGGTTATAATAGAATAAATTGTTGAAAAAAAATACTGGAAAATAAAAACAAACAAACTCATCTCATCATTTCGGTTAGTTTGTTAACCATCCAGGTCATTTATTGATTTCAATAGCGAACTTTTGTAGTATATTTCAGTTACTAGAATTATTCTTTTTTTTTATTATTTATCAATTATATACATAAGAAAAAGTAAAGACTATATTCTCTGACAATGCCATCCGTGCCACCAACATCAATAGCAACACGTAAACGTACCCGATCAACAAATATGTCTGAAAATAATCATGATCATCAACAAACAGCATCATCAAATACATCAACAACAACAATAACAACATTAATTAATAATAATTCATCTCACTCCACAAATACAGTTACTGTTAATGCTCCACCTAAACGTCAACGTAATAATCCGCCGCCAACAGGACCACCTCCGCCGGTTGCACCACGTACAACTTATTCATTTCGAAATCGTTCTTTAACACCTGATCCTCGTCATCTAATAACAAGATTTCCATCAGTTCATCCACCATCATCAAGATCAAACAATCAACAACGATATAATTTACGTTCACGTCGTCCACAATCACAAGTTCGTCTACCTCAAGTTCCAACGACACATCCAATTATACCACCACGTCGTACACGTCCTCTAATTCCGCCTATAATTCAAACAACAACATCAGCATCATCATCCACTAATGTTAATCAATCATCATCTTTAACTCTTCAAACTTCTCTTTTATCACCATCACCACCACGACCACCATCAGCTTCAATTCCATCAGTAGTTCCACCAATTACACATTTAACACCACCGATGATTCAACCACGACAATATCGTCTTGTTTATATATCTGATGATGATGATGAACCTCAAGCAACAGCAACTGTTGTTAATACAACACTTGATTTAGTTACAGAGGATGATGATGATGAATTAATAAGATCACATATTGCATCTCATCATCGATTGTCAAGATCAACAGTCGGTGCTGGTTTTAATACACGGTAAATTACAAAATAAAAATCTAAAATTAATTTTATGTTCTTTGTTTTTCTTTTACATTTCTATAGTTTACGTACAGGTGTAGCAGCAGTTCCATCAAGTGCAACAAGTACATCATCATCGTCATCATCATCATCATCGAATTCAACAACAGCAACAATAAATACTCAAGATTTTGTTAGTGGTGTTGCTTATGTACGTTTAAATCGTGCTATTGAAATCGTTATTGATTCAATTCAATCGCTCGAAGGTGCTGTTAATAGTTTTGATCAACTTATTTTTGCTCTTATTTATGGTCGTTTGAATACAAGAGATGAATCTGAAAGTATTGAGGTAAAAGAAAAAAACCAAAAAAAAAAAGACTATCTAGATCTTAATTGATTATTTTGGAATTTTGAAAAATTCTAGGGTATGATTCGTTTGTCACGTATACTTAATCTTAGTTTACCATCACGATTAAGTCAAGATGAAATCGATGCATTACCAAAAATAATTTTTGTTAATAAATCTGGTCCAACATCATCAATACTTTTAGTTGAAAAATGTCCAATATGTTTAAATGAATTTGATGATCAAGAAACAATAAATAAATTACATTGTACACATTTATTTCATCTACAATGTATTTCAACTTGGCTTAGTGTATGTTTATATTTTCTTGTTTTTGTTTATTCAAAAAAATTCTTTTTTTTTCTTCATAGGAAAATGATTCTTGTCCAACATGTCGCCGTAAAGTAATGGGTGATTAAAATATGAATTTATATAAAAGAATTTTATTATAGACAATTGAATTTGTTTTGTTTTGTTTGCCATATTTGATAAAGATGAGAAAAAAATTTTTTTTTGTCCGTTTTTCATTCTTCTCAAATTAATAATCTCAAGAAAATCAAACAAAAAAAGAAATATATACCAAAGTCCCGGTGAGAGTTTTTCTCTCGCTCTATTTAATCTTTATTATTTTGTACAGAAGTCTATAAGTGAGAGAGATTTGTATATGCGTGTGCGTGTGTTCATTCCAATTTTTGGTTTTTCTTGCTCACTTTAATTATATGTTCTACTTTCATATTCCTTTCCTTTTTTTGATAAAAGTATTATTATTATATATATGTTATGTTCTTCCTCGTTTTTTTGCATTTGTCAGTGTGTGGGTGTCTTTTCATGCAGATGTGTGGATTACTTAGTAGAATGTTTTGTGTGTGTGTGTGTGAAAGCAACAACTAGATACATATATATTATAAATAAAAAAAGCACAGACAAAGATATTTATCAATGCATTGTATGATAGTTGATTTCTTGGATTTGGGGTGCGGAAGAATAAAGGCGTGAATGATTTATAGAGTCCATTGATCAATACTGTCGTATAACCTCATTCCGGAGCAGAAAAAAAGGAGCTATCACCGCATAAATGCAAATCTATTGGTAGAAGAATTAATAATAGAAAGAAAAAGAATAACATATATACATATTAACATGTTTTCATCATATGTATCTCTCATAACTAATACCCTTCATATTGATCTTTTCGTTTGTCTTTTCTTTTTTTTTTTCTTTTCTCATAAATTTTGTTTTCCTGCAATATTATTATCTCTTTCCTTTTGCTCTAAAATCGAAACATATTCATTTTCTTTTTCTACTGTTACTATACAGACAACTACTGGTAAAAAATAAGTTACATCAATAGTGGTTTTTGATAGAGACAACATAATCAATCATTAAGAACAAATTAATGGCACTAACAAAAAAACAGCTGATTATTATTGGTAGTATACTAACTATAGTGATCATAGGCCTTATTGTTGGTATTACTGTTGGAATTGCTGTTGGTAGACAAAAATCTACTCCATTAACAGTTGAACAACAAGCATATCAAATACTTGAAAAGAATCCATTAATCGATGGGTAAGACTAATATATTTTCACTGTTGATGATGATACAATCAAGATATTTTTTGGTAAATATTCAAGTCAATATGAGAAAGTTAAAAAGATCTTTCTATTATCTCTTACATGCTCATAGTTTTCTATTATAAGATTTTTGGTAATCATCTATGTTCTATTGCGAATCGATATGTGTTCGAGAATGTTCTTATTATGTAGAAAATTGCTTGGTGTATAATATGAAATATTTCAGCAATTTTATGAATCATTTGTTTTTGTGATTAAGCATTTCATTTATAGAAAATAACTGTAAAATCTCATTTTTAAATCTCTGTACATACTTTGTGACGAACAATTCATTTTACTTCCATTCTAATTGTTAATCAGGATTGTTCTTTTAAAAAAGTACACTCGGTATAAATCGATATAAAGATTTTCTTCTGATATACTATTCTTATCATGTCAATTTGGATTTATCTAAATCGATCTAGGAAACACAAGCTAATCTGAAAACGTTAATAAATTATCTGTCGACTTGTATATCAACTTTGATCAATAGTCCGGGTAATCGACATACAAAAAAACAACAGGTTTTTTTGCTTTATTTTCCTAAGTATCATATATCATTGATCAAACCATCGAATAATCATCTTACGTACTCCATTGGTTATATCGGTACATCTTACTTTGATCGAAAAGAAAAATGTTGAAGAAAAAGATAGTGAAAATGTCGAACAATTAAAATGTCGAAAGATAAAAATGCCAACTTATTGAAACATCGAGGGTGTAGATCTGTGAGTCTGAGTTTGAGTATGTGGGTTGTGAGTAACGTTCCGTTTCGATGTACTTTTGGTTTTGACATGCGCTTCTAATGAAGGAACTTCAAATCTATAGTTCACGACACGATTCAGGTGATTAGCTTTACATATCTCGATGTTGAGCAATCAAAATCGCCTATCTGTTTGGTCAAATTGGATAGAATTCTTTATATTTTTAGTGAATTTCCTGATTTTTTATTTTTATCGATATTTTTTTGAAACGAAACACTGTTTTTATGCCTTGTTTTTGAATGTTTTCAGAAGATGATGGATTTTAAAATAATTTTGTCATATATAGTATCAGACAAAAAGACTTTCAGAGCTCTCCTCTGTGAACTTCTGAAAATCGCAAACCGCTAACTGTTGCTATTGTCGAGTTATTGAGCTTACACCCATTCCTCTTTAATTCTGACGCCGATATTAGTTATTATTTCTACAATATTTATACATTCAATTTTTCTATCTATTTTTTCAAGACACAATGATTTGGCTTGGCTTATTCGGGCTAACTTTCAAAATAATATAAATAATCTTGACTTATATAATATGACACAATACCCCGTGAAAAATGATACACCATCACATACAGATATACCACGGTTACGACAAGGACAAGTTGGAGGACAAGTTTGTTTTGAATATTTATTTTCATATTTGATTAAAAACAAAAGAGTTTAAAATTCATTATAGTTTTGGTCAATCTATACGAATTGTAAACATCTAGGAAAGGATGCAACAATAAGTTTTTTGGAACAAATTGATATTATGAATCGAATTATAGCTAAATATTCAGATGTATTTCAAATGGCTACAACAGCTGAAGAAGTTCGACAAGCATTTTCTGCTAAACGTATAGCAAGTTTATTTGGTGTTGAAGGTGGACAAGCTATTGAAAGTTCATTTTCTATTTTGAGACTTTTCTATCAATTGGGTGTACGATATATGACATTAACACATAATTGTAATACTCCATGGTAAAAAGAAACAAAAGATGAAAAAAATTCTTTTTTTTTCTAATTGATTAATGAATTTAAACTTGTTGTTCCTTTTTTTTATTAAGGGCTGATCAAAATCAGGTCGATCGAGTTAATTCAACATTAATAAAAAACAATGGTTTAACAGAATTTGGTAAAAAAATCGTAATAGAAATGAATCGACTTGGCATGTTAGTCGATCTATCACATGCTTCAAAACAAACAATGATTGATGTACTTAATATAACTCAATCACCAGTTATATTTAGTCATTCATCAGCATTTTCATTATGTAATCATACACGAAATGTTCAAGATGATGTACTTGAATTAGTCGTAAGTATTTAATTTCGATTTAAAATAGAGAAATATTTTCATATTTTATTTTGTAGAAAAAAAATCAAGGTATCGTTATGATTACATTTGCACCTATTTTTATTACATGCAATTTGACAAATGTTGGAACAGTAGTTGATGTTGCTGGTAAAATAATTTTCTTTTTAAATTTTATTATCTATCATTCGTTCATTTAGCACATATTAATCATATAAGAAATATTGTCGGTATTGATAGTATAGGTCTTGGTGGAGATTATGATGGTATTAGTGAGTATGTATTGATTTGTTTTGGTTTTTAGTTTTTTACATATTATTATATTAATATTTTAGAACACCGAATGATCTTGAAGATGTATCAAAATATCCAAAATTAATTGCATATTTATTATCACAAGAAAATTGGACACATGATGATATAATTAAACTTATTGGTGGAAATATTTTACGAGTCATGGAAAAAAATGAACAAGTAAAAATTAACAAAGATTTTATTTCAATACTATTTCTTTGTATTTATTGACCTTTTTTTTTTTAAGATAGCAAAAGAACTTCAAAAGACAATGAAACCACAGGAAGGTTTAATAGATCGTAAGGAATTAGAAGTACATAATCTGACACAATGTCGTAATTTGGATATGTATCCAACAAAATAATTAATACGACTTGTTAAATAAATGGATACACAAAAGAAACATAGGAAGACAAAAGAAAAATATTTGACTTTTAATAATTTATATATTGGTATTGATCTGTTTTGACCCTAGCAAAATTCGTGTTGATTTTGATGACCTAGTTGATATATTTAAATAAATAAATCGTATATTTGTCTTTTTTTTATAGAAAAACAAAAAAAAAGAATACGTACCTTGGTACAAGAAGACTAAAATGACGTTTATTTGTATGATTTAAAAAAGATTGATCAGCTTCATCATCAATTAAATTATTCTAAAGATAAATATAATTTTAATCTATTTAATAGATTAAATCATTTTATTACTTGTTGAATATTTTCTTTATTTTCATTATGATCGATAAATTGAGTTTTATCTTGAATCACTAAATAAACGAAAAAAGAAATTAAAAAACTTTATTTTCAAATCTTTTATGTTCACATACATGGAAATATATTTTTATTTTCTCGTTGTCTTAATCGAATAGAACGTGAACGTGAACGAGATTTTGAACGAGCTCGTTTTAATTCTCTTGATACACGATGAAATGTAGCTTCAGTTTGAATAAGATTATTATTTAGACGACAAAGTTGTTCATTATGAATTTCTTTTCGACTTTGATATTTATAAGCAAAATGAATAAGAATTAATAAACAACAAGTCCAGCAAATAAGACGCCATTGATAAAAATTTATTATCTATTAAATTTTAATTATAAAAAAAAAATAAGAATTCGAAACAAAAGAAAATTTACTGAAGACATTTGATAATAACGTTCAAGAAGAACATAAATAAACATACCACAAAATAAAAAAGATCTAAATCAAACAAAAGAATTTAATTAAAATAATTCTCTTTTTTTTCGCCATAAGAATGTTTCAACATAGCTTCATTATTCCGTCTTATCTAAGGATTATTTCAAACCTATAAGAAAATAACTTTCTCAATTAAAGGAGTTTTTCATGATGGTATTCTAATAACCAAAAAGACGAACAGTTTTTTTCTTCGATTAGCAGATTTTAATTTTTTTTTTGGAAAAAAATAAAATGTTTTATCTATAATATGGATATACAATTAATTTTACAAACTAAAAGATACATAGGAAATATAATTTATTCTAAATGAATGATAGAAGAAAAATGATAATATGAAATAGTTATCACCATAACCAATCAAACATAATCTAGAGATCTCCTATTTGCGATCCAAAATTTGTATTAGTGAAATTGAATTGAGGAAGAAGTGTTGTCAATCACTAGAAATCGTTTGGTTTCCATGCCTGAACTATGAGTAAAGTTCTATAAAAATTTAGAATATTTTGAAAAGATTCCTTGTAAACGATCTTAACATACAATAATTCTTTCAGTTCAAAAGTCAACAAATCATGATGAAAGAATTTTAAGTCTATAAAAATGTCATCTATACATTAAAAATATTTGTTGATCAATCCCTTTTTTAGATCTTCTATTAATCAGAAAGATCAGTTAAATTTAAAAATTAACTTTGAATGTTAGGGCAAACATTTTTTTTTTCGTAATAACCTTGCTCGATTTGTTCTCTTTGGAATTGTCATTATATAAATAGTAAACATTGATAAAGTATAAAACCAAAATGAATATGTACAAGTTATTCGTACTATTGTTTGAATTGTTTGAGATAAAGCACAAATCTAATTATAATAAGATATAAATATACATATATATTTATTGATCATCTAATAAAGAAATCTTGTCTAGTGATAAATCACTTTTGAAATGAGTCTTAATTTATAGAACTTTCTTCTTATGTGATGGTCATTTTAGTGAGCTTTTTAATAAACTCGTGTATTCGTCTTCAGATCATTCTCAAAATCGACTTTCGAATTCTAATTTTGTACAACGAAACTTCTCAACAGGACTTGTTCGTTGTGAAAGTGTCAAACATTCTAGTATGTCTTGTCCACAGACACTTATATTGAAAATTTTGTTGTAAGTGAGGCGTATTCAATGAATTAAGATTCATTTCAGAAACGATTTTGTTCAATTGGTGACGTTTCTTCGGAATTATTTTACTTGTTTAAGTAAATCATATTCATGACGAGCAGCTTGAATAACATTATTGAGAATATCCTGTGTTTTATCTATATTTGTTCGAGCTAATTGTTTAAGTTTAATAGCATTATTAAGAATTATTTCTTGAATATATTGTTGATATTTTATTCTATCTGTTAATTGATGTTGTAAATGAATAGATGAAATTAATTTAGTTATTGTTTCTTGTGAATTATTAAGAAATATTGTTAAACGTGATGTAAGTTCAGATTGATAAGATTTTTGTCGAAGAACATAACAAACACTTTGAACAAATGGATAAAATTCAGTATAGGCTAAAACAAATAGAAAATTTTTTTTTAATTAAAAGAAGGTTAATGCTTTTTTTTTTTCTCTTTTCTCATTCACCAATAAATGCATTCATATGTTGATGAAGATTTTCTACACATAATTCAATATTATTTTCATGACATAAAATATTTGATAGATCATCATTCATTGTAGATAGATGACAAAGAGTAAATTGATAAGCTATTATTGATTGATATTTATCGAGTTCATCAATTGAACAATATTTTTGTAACATTATTAATACTTGTTGCCAACAAGATGATGTTGTTGTTGATGATGATGATAGTGATAAAATTTGTTCATATTTTTGTCGACCATTATCAAAGACATCACTCGAGGAAAGTGAACTGATTATTAATAGTATTAGTAGTTTTAAAAAACTAGACATGATGTTGGTTTTTCTTTGTCTATAAAGTCCATTTATTGATTAAATTCTTCTTCTTTTCTTATTACGAAAAAAAAAAATTTTTATTTATTCTCCATACAAGACACAACAAATAATAAGACAGAAAAAAAATAGATGACAATTTCAATTGAATTAGATCCCATAGCGTGTACACAAACAGAACCGGTTTTATATTTTGAACATATATAATTACTTTGTTTTCTTGTTTTGAATACATATGTATTACAATTATTTATGATTTAATCACGCAATAGAAAAAAAGAAGTGTTAGTAATATTAATATACAATCGTTCATAAGATTTTTATTTTTGAGTATCTATTCTTGTTCATCCTCTTTTTCCTAAAATAAGAAAAAACAAAATTTATTCTTCTATCAAAAACAAAATCACAAATGTTTACTTCGAGATCTTCTTCTTCATCATTTTCACCACCACTACCACCTTCTTCTTCATCATTTGTTGTTGCTGCCTAGAAAATAATTTTTATTTTAAAAATAAATAAAAACAAAGTTTTTATCTTACTAAATAATATTGAAGAGGATTAACAAATATATCATCTTTAATAACTTCACCAAATTCATCATTGCCTGTTTCACCAGTTGTATCCGTAAACCAAGCCATAAATGCTCCACGTTCATTAGTATTATCATTATCATAAGAACGTTTACGTGTATTTGATGTTGAATTATCACTATCAGTTTTTCTATTACTTGCTGTTTGACCATTTTTTGATTCCTAAAGAAAAAATAAAAATTTCTTTTTTTTTTTTTTTGAATTTTTTTTCTAAAAGTTAAACATACATTTTTCCATCGTATTGGTGTTGATTTACATTGTGTTTCACTTGATTCTGTAACACTATATTCTTTAACGATTAAATCATTTTCAAAATATGAATTTTTATCGAATGTCTAAAGTGGAAAAGTTTTCGAAAAATGAAAAAAATTCAAAAACAAAAACTTACAAATTTAATACGATAACCTGATTTAATATCTTCATGCTAAAAGAAAAATTAAGAATAATTGTTTCCAAACGAATCTTATTTTTTGTTTATGTTATGTTTTTTTTTTACTTCTTCTACATCGACACGTTTGAGATATTGTAAAATATTTTCATCATTTTGATCCAAATAACTTGATAATTGAGGATGATTAAGAAAAACACTAATCCAAAATGATGGAATTTTACTAATTAAATCCGAACCTTAAAAAATGAAATGATTTCTTTATTTTCTAGAAAAATCAAAATAAAATTTAAAAAAAAAACAAACGTTTTTTATAATTTGGTTGACGAAGTTTATTATATTTTTGTTCAACTTGAAGAATTTCTTCACTTGCTTGTTCATTAAGACGATCAATTTCGTTTTGTACATCGCCAATTACTTCGAATGCTTTTTGCATTTCGGCTTCTACAAGAATTTATAAGAAGTTGACATGAATATAATTTTAGAAAAAAATATAAATTAATAAAAATTTTACCATCAAGTTTTACTTGTTTGGTATTTGAACTTGACATATTGAATGTAAAAAAATCTTTTCTAATTTAATAAAATGAAAATGATGGTTTGAAAATGTTAGAAGATAATAAACAAAGGAAACTGTGCCTTTTTTATTCTTGTTATATAATTGATTAACCAATAGCAAAGTTAAACGGATGAATTCGGCGTACTTTCTTGTTTTTCATGACATTTTAGATTTGATCATAGCGACATCAAGCGGAATTTTTATTGATGAAATACTTTAGTTTTTTTATAAAAAAATACCACTAGAATTGATTTTTTGATAATCTTAATGGTTAATTTCTATTTTCAATTTATTTAGGATAAGAATAGAGATATTTGATTGATAAGTTAATTTCATATTCATTCTTCAATTGACTATTCCCAGCTGGAACTTTTAATACTCTTATTATCAATCATGAAAACTTTTTTCTTCGTGTCGCTATTTCTCATGTCAGTAAATCTGTAAAGAAATTTCTGATCAATGGAAACATGTTTTTACTACACACACCAATTTTGTCTACATTAATAGTTTTAAAAGTAATGTTCTTTCTAATAGCGGTATAGTGCGGTGTTCATTGTTTATCATCACTATCATCATCATTTTTGTTCATATATATTTTGATATGCGTGTGGATGTGGCTATGAGTGTTCTGTGTCTCGTCATCCACGCCCTCCGTTTTTTGAGGGAGGGGAACAAA